AAGAAGCTCCCAGAAGAAGCTCCCAGAAGAAGCCCCCAGAAGAAGCCATGAAGTATCTGAGCACCATGCCTGACATGGCGTGCTAGGCGTTAGGTTCTTTTTGGTAATTCTTCCAGGGCGGTTATGATCAAGTAGATAAACGAGTGTCAGTCCAGGTCAGATGAGGAGTCTTTGAGTCTGAGGTGAACCCTGATCGGTCTGTCTGGAGGACAGGAACGTTCTGGAGGAACCGCAGCCTCCAGAAACACCTTCACAGCCTCTAGTCTCTGTTGTTCGGTGTGACCTTCAGGAGCAGAGTGTGACGTGATGTAGAGTCTACCTGTAGGGGGCGGCGCTGCCCCAGGACAGGTAGTCGGTGGGGCGCGGCGCAGGGCGCGGCACGATGGGCTGCTCCACCGCCGTCATCTCTCCTGAGTAGGACTTGAGGAGCGAGGCGTTCTTGCTGGCCAGCATGGCTCGCTCATTCCGGCGAAACTTGGCCCTCCTGTTCTGAAACCAAACCTGGAACAAGAAGAAAGAAGATCTCTGAAGGCTTGTCACATGATCAGGTTCATTTCAGCGTCTGAGTCGATGCTCGAGACGTCTAAACTGGCTCAGCACACGCTGTCCTGGACGTTCCCACAACGAGGACGGGGAACATTCAGAATAAAGCAGTGGACCTGACGAGAAGCATAAACTCAGACCAGCAGGAACAGACTCTGAGTAACTGGTTGAGGAGGAGCCACAGGTGGACAGAGATGAATCAGGACGACCGGGGACGAGTAGAAGAAACAAGCATCCAGATCCAAACACAAACTGAGACAAAGACCCAACAGGACGAACAGAAGGGACATGTTCTGCAGTTTTCTTGTCGAGACGCCGTCAGGACAACCGATCAGCCGCTGTCATTATAGAGCATCGCCTCAAAGAAACTCAACGAAGAAGAAACATTTGAAGGATGCTCTGCAATCGTTGAGTCACTGCTGAGGAACGCGCCACCCTCGTCCTGAAGTTCGCTCTGTGAGATATTTTATCTCCGTCATGATTTGTGGGAAACTAACAGCCGTCCTGAGCGGCGGGCGATCATGACCTGATGGAGGCGTTGATCCGCGGACCAACGTCTACAACCTGAGCCAAGATGGCGGCTGACTGATGTTCACAGACAGAACCTGCTCCAGCTGAGGCAGTTTTACAGACACCAAGGTGAGTTCTGGTAGTAGCTGAGAGTCGTTCCCAGCTCATCCTCTGAGGACTAACAGATCACCTGACGTCTGCGGTCACAGCGTGAGAGGTCGGCGGGCGATACGCACCTCTTTAAGGAGAGCTACGTTTAAATTAAACCATTGAGCTCAGAGTTTATGTTGGGAAGGACTCTCAGCTACAACCACTCTAAACTTCGGCTCAGTGATTAGAAACATTTTGATTTGGCTAAGGTTGATAAGCTGTGGCGGCCATCTTGAATCAGGCTGAGAAAGTTCATCAATCACAGACGTTCATCTAAAGATGAAGTTCAGAGAGTTTTGATAAAATTCTGTCCACATTAGACAGAGACAAAGGTGAGACAGAGACACAGGTGAGACAGACACAGGTAAGACATAGATAGGTGAGAAAGAGACACAGGTGAGACAGAGACAGGCGAGACAGAAACACAGGTGAAACAGACACAGGTAAGACATAGACACAGGTGAGACAGACACAGGTGAAACAGACACATGTGAGACAGAGACACAGATGAAACAGAGACAGACACAGGTGAAACAGAGACAGGTGAGACAGACATAGGTGAAACAGAGACAGGTG